AAGCTTGCTCTGTGGACATTGTCTATTGTGGACGAATAACAGAGGGTTGCATACCTCTGCGAAGTCGACAGAACAGTCTTTTGAAGTTGGTTTGTAGGCGTCCTCATGGTTTTCTGAATTTGAAAATTCTATAGCAGCAGCCTGCTTGGTCAAGTACCGATGAGCATAAGGGTGGTTTAATCGTGGTTGCCAAAGCTCAATCCTTGCATCTCTGATCCAAGCTGAATTGTAGCCATCAATAGTCTGAAGAACAATGGTTGTGTACTTGTGATAACTGCCTTTTGCCGACCAAACCGAATAGCAGGTACCACCTGCACGAATTGTCCCGCCAGTGTTTTTTGGAGTTTGGCTAGGTCCCCGGCAACCACTCCCACTGCTGTGCTGCCCACATACTGACAAGAACGGCGCTTGAAACTAGAGGTCCAATCGATCGGCAGCTTGACTGCAGAAATGCGAGAAAGAATATTTCTGAATATCCACTCCGCACTGATCCAGCTTCTCATGAATCTGCTGAACAGACTTTTCCACCGAAGGCCAACGTTTGATGACCAAAGATGCAAGACGACCTAATTGCAAACAAACCTTCTGTAAAAGCATTGACCTTCTTGCAGACACTACAGTGCTCAGCTCATCGATGTATCAAGCTGCCAAGATAGCTGCAAGTGCGATCACGGAGGCAAGCGACCGTCATCGGAAGACCGAATTTGAATGCAAGTCCACGGTCAGACTGGCTTTGGCTGATGCAATCTGTAGAATCAGCTCGCCGGCTAGCGTCTCTAACTCTTCGTACTTGGAAGACCAAGGTGCGTGTTAGTCCCAGCCAGGACTGCCCGATTCTTCAAGACTTCTTTGGGGAGCCATCGAACTTGCGATCATCCCCTTCTTGGTGAGACCGTTGGTTGGGGCTCGCAATCGGTAGGCCACTGTTGTTCTGGGACAATGAAGAACTACGGCGGGACTCGGAGCGATTGACGGGTTTTCTGGTTCAAACATGCCATGTGCATGAAGCTGATCAGTGCAACGTTAGCATTGAGTCTCAAGATGAACCAGCTGCTGAGAAGCCAGTGCTTTGCTGTACTGGTGCAAGCGGTCATGGCTTCGATCATGGGCTGAAAAAGCCAAGAGGGGAATCTGAAGTGATTGAGGGCAGGTCTTTTCCGGTGGTTTCTTGTTTCCACATAGTCGGAGCGCAACCATCAATGTCAAATTGTTTCTTTCGTACAGGAGACAACACCTGCGAAACTAGAATGCTCTCTGCTACCGAACGTTGAGGCGCTGTCGACAGAAATCGACCATGACTTAGAAGTCAGAAAGACCGCTCTGCTGGACCATGGAGCATCAGCTCATGAGCTCGAATGTCCGTAACATTTCTTTCACTGAACCCTTTCTTCCTGCTCCAATGTCACGGTTCCACTTCTTTCTTGAACGAGAACCCATCTACGGAATTGACATCAAAGTGATGATCATCCGCACTCAACTAAGTGGGCACCGGTGGAACAATGGTAGAGGATGACGAAGGCGGTTTCCACGACTGCTGATGGACAGGCGGGGGTGGTAGATGTGTTTGGTACGGTTTGCCTTGTAACCGGATGACCTATAGTGTACCGGAAGACAATCATCAAGACACTAGCGAAGCACTTTACTGATACGCCCAGATTGGCCAGTTCCCTGTGCAACGAAGCACCGAAATGACCATCTTCAGCCTTTAGATCTGAGTATATCACGGTAGAACCCAGGCGTCATTTCGCATGATCTACCTGTCGTATCTTCGCGCGACCAATCACACAGAAAGGCCGAGCTCCGGATGTGTTCTCAGCAGTCAGCAGCCTTACGAAAAGTGTGCAAGGCTGCCCCTGGCGTAGAATGGAGGTGACGGAAGCCACTTGATGTCATCTTAATTCCGTTTCGATGGCCCAAAGTGACCTTGCTGAAGTATGTGGACGAAAGCAGAGAAATTTGTGTTGTGCGGCACGTGGTAGAATTCACTCTCCGCCAGAAACCGGTCGGTGTTGATGACAGCATGGTCAAGGGCCATATCTGCGACTAAGCCCAGTATGCCATCACTAATCTTGATGAGCCTCACACGACGTACGCTGTGAAGTCAATCAGCAGCTGCGATAATCTCTGCCAGATCGCGCCAATTCCGAATGCCAACCGCCAAACTCTGTGCGTTGTTGACATGATTGGTCAAAGGCTGCTGCAAGTTGAATCTTATTCTGATGAACAGTACCCATTGATACTCCATCAACTTCAACTCCGATACAGAACGCATCCTGCAGTTGGAACAAACTGCAATCATGCGAAATTGCAACATCATGGCATTGACATTGAGTCGGTTGGAGTCGATCCTGACTGGTTTGTCATCTTGTCGAACTTCTGTGTTGTCTAGCCCTTATCCTACAGAAGCAAGTTTTCGACTCAAGGTAGCAAAGCAGCATCCTTGGAGGGCGGGCATTCTGACAACATCGGATCACTCACAGAACGAGGCAAATACGGCTCAATTGTACCTTCACCGACTTGTGAATCTAACGTACTCTGTTCAGCTGCAGCACTCAAATTTTGAGACGTAGATGCGAACTGTTATCGCGGATACATTCCAGCTCGCGCTAGGACTGTGGCTAATTGCACTATTACGTAGCACACTTGTGTGCGAAGTGACAACTCGTAGCTCTTCCTTCCTGGTTTCCGTTCCGGTGTGATGGAGAAATTGAGAAGTTCCATGCTCCGTGCCGCGATCGATGCTGGCGAATTCCCGGAAAAGGCCAAGTCAACTGGGATTATTTCCTTGCAGGGGAAAAGAGTATCTGCAAACGATATATGGAATCCGAGAATTGCGACAATAGCAGGAATTGCCCCGACATGCATCCTGACTTTTTCCGCGGTTCGTGGGTGGTTCTCGGTCTTCTTTGTGTTCCGAGGAGTCTGCGATCATGTCCACTGCTGGAATCAACATGGCTTGACACTCGATGCTGCCATGAAGGCGGCTTTCGACTTACAGCGGCAAAGAGCTGAGCGACTTGCCTACGCCTACCACTCTGCGGCAGTGGACCGTTCGACAGGCGTCAACTGTGACACGGTGCGCCCTTATGGCACGACGGGACATCATACCGCGAGGATCCACCCACACGCCCACACCACCCCACCCCCGCCCACAGACAGACAGATGGATAGACACGGACACACACACACACACTTACTTGATTGACCCCCGATTGGCCGGAACCAAACATGGGTTAGCACGTATTCCTACTACACTCGTAGCCTACTGTCTTGCTCTCTTTTTGAGTGCAGGTACGTTTTCAGCTCTTGTCATTGGCCTCTTCGTTGGCCATCCACCAATGACAAGAGGGATGGCCCCCTGCTTCTTTTTGAAAACATACAGCAATCATAGCCCTTGGCTTCAGGGATTTACACACACACACACACCTGCTCCGATGTGGGGTAGTACGACGCTCTTCGCCTGGAAGATGGTTAGAGCATCAGGATTAGGGGAAAAAAGAGAAGGGGAAAGGGAGAGAGAGAAAGAGAGGGAGAGAGGAAGGAGGTGCTTGTCACAAAGGAAGCGAACCCGTACAGGAGGCAGGCACATGATTTCCTTTGGTCGTTTATATTTCCATTGTGGAGTGAGGTTTCCCTAGTCTGATGCCTGATGCCTCGGTGGTGTAGTTGCGTATCTCCAGCCCCTCCAAAACGGTTGGGGGCGCGGACAGCGCGCGGGCTAGGGGAGCTCCCCTAGTCCACAGCCCTAACGAAAGAAAAGGAAGGAGGTGCTTAAAGATTCTATATGATGAACTGGTCAGTGTTGGAGTTCGCAGGCCAAGCCGCAGCCCCCCCCCACACTGCCAGTTCATCAGCTTCTAAATGATGACATGGTCAGTGTGGGAGTTCGCAGGCAAAGCCGCAGCCCCCCCCCACACTGCCAGTTCATCAGCTTCTAAATGATGACATGGTCAGTGTGGGAGTTCGCAGAACCGCAGCCCCCCCAACACTGCCATGGCATCTTTGGATGATGACGTGGTCAGCGTGGGAGTTCGCAGGCAAAGCCGCAGCCCCCCCGACACTGCCACATCATCGTTTCTTGGGTGCGGGGTTCGCAGGCAAAGCCGCAGCCCCCCGACACCTCGGCTTGGCTGCTGGGTCAGAGAGGGAGTTCGCAGGCAAAGCCGCAGCCCCCCCAACTGTGCCCGTTTTCTGCTGGTTGCGAAACTCTGGGATCACAAGTTGTAGAGTCGTAGACACAAGGCGTCACAAGTTGTAGAGTCGTAGACACAAGTAGTCACTTGTTGTAGAGTCGTGGAAATTTAGGAGCACGAGTAGACGCTTTCCCGACTTCTTGCAGCATTTCTGCAGGTGAGATTGTAGGAGAACTGTTGCACCCGAAGGTGAGCATTCATACGTTTGGCCACCGAGCTCTCTCAATCCAGGATCCTAGAGATGGAGCCTCACAACCGGCACCTTGTCAGAAAACCAGCCGAGGTACACACTTAATTGACCCCCGATTGGCCGGAACCAAACATGGGTTAGCACGTATTCCTACATTCGTAGCCTACTGTCTTGTTCTCTTTTGAGTGCAGGTACGTTTTCAGCTCTCGTCATTGGCCTCTTCGTTGGCCATCCACCAATGACAAGAGGGATGGCCCCCTGCTACATGCAGCAGTCATGGCCCTTGGCTTCAGGGATTTACACACACACACACGCGCGCGCGCACACGCACGCAAGCACATGAGCACTAATCAAGCTTGGTCCATGTGAGCGAGTAATCAATGTTTGTAATGCCATCCCTGAGTAACAGAGCGTCGACCATGACATGGTTCCCGCTGTTGGTTACATAATTCGCAACTCTCCGACTGCTTTAAAGCGTATGAATGCGGCGAAATCCCATTTTAATCCAAGCCAAGTTAAAGCTAAGTATAGGTGTAGTGTAGGCACAGTGAACACTTTCCGGTTCTTGCTTGCTTTGCTTTGGTGGCATTTTCTGAGGTTTTGCGTTGGCCAAGGACATGGAGATCAACGCGGCCAGCCACCTGGCAGCCGTAAACCGCACGGTTCTCTTCGTCAACAGCGACGAGCTGCTTCGCGCGCTTCTCGCTCTCACCGAGGAAAGGGATGTCAGGTCAGTCACAATGGCAATATTCCCTGACAAAGCATCCCGATGTGATGTAGGAGGAAAACTATCCCCTGGTCTTCGGCTGCGTGGCCGGGAAGGACCGGACCGGTTTGCTGCACGGCGAAATAAATTTGGCTTCAGAGAGTGCTTCAATGTTCAAAGGCTGCCAAATCGCAATGCATAAATTGCATGTGTTTTCCGAAGGCAGCAACGTTTACAGCCGACGACAAACGACAGCAACAGCGGCTGCGCATATGGGGTGGTGATAAGCGGGGCGTTCGAAAATCAAAGTTCGCAGCGCTTGATTTTCGCATTAAAACCGTGGATCTCCATGCCCCTATAACCTTCCTTATTGCTTGCGGAAAAATAAACTTGATTCACAAAGCTAATTTAGGCATTGAGTGGGGAAGCTGGGCCAATATTGGGTTGCCTTGAATTCTACGAGGCCTGTTTTGGACAGTTTGCCGAGACAAGCGCCAGCGCGCGATTTGTACGGCCACGAAAAAGTCAGCTCAAAAGCTAGGTCAACTCGGTTCGAGCTTTGTCCCCCTTCCTGGCGGAGACTGGGACAAGTACAGCGTTGAAATGCGTAGCATAATTAAGTGACAACCACTCCTGCATGCTCCTGTCTGGTCGCCTTTGTACGAAGCCCTTTGGGAACAGTCGAATCGTCAAAGGTGGCCCTGCCGCCATTTCGGAAAAAGGCATGCTGGTCCAGCGCTGTTTGTCTTTGTCAGTAGTCTCAAGGTTGAGCTGCCTCATTTTGTCAGCCCTGGGCTGTGACCGCGAGACGATCGTACATGACTATTTGAAGACCAACGAGGCCGCCCGACACATCGACGCCTGTAACCAGGTGGCTCAGCACCTCTGGTGCCTTTGCCCGCACCTTCATTGTTTCTTCAGTTTTCTTTCGTCCCTTGTAAGTCTTCCTTGTGAGATTGCAGTCTACTGAGGTGGGAGCAGCTAGCAGCTGAGGCGCCTAGCAAATGGCAGCGGATGCAGCCGACACTCCCAAAGCTCCACTTCGATGCGACGTGGCCCGGGCTCGAGGCTGACGACGGGTCTACTCCGCCGCCTTTGCGGGAGGACTTGAGGCCAGAGCTCGAGGCGCCAAAGGAGCCTCCAAACCAGGAAGAGGCTCGTCCGCCCGGTATTTCTGCACTTCCGATTCGGAACCCGCGATTGACATGGGTTTTTGTAACAGTGCGCCACTTGAAAGCATCTCCTTGGAGGCGCTTGCCGTGCTTCAGGGTTCGGTGGCCTATCTCGGAACTCTCGAGTACACCTTGGATCTGTTGGACAGCGAAGGAGAGTTATAAAGTGATTCGTTGCATGCTGCATTTGTCTGCTTCTCTAGGAAGTGCTTTAGTGCTTCAAGAGGAGGAGCTCTGGCCTACCTGGACTCCATAGGCTTCGGGGGGCCTGAGCTCGAGAAACTCCTGGCCATCCTTACTGTGTAAGAGAAAAAGACAGTCCTCGTTTGAGACTTCTTTAGCCTGCTCAACTATGCTTACGCCACGCTGATGATGCCTGCTTTAATTTCAGTTTGTCGGGTCGAGGCCATTTGGCCGCAGATGCGCGCACCTTAGAGGGACAGCAGAGGTCAGTGGACAAATTGCAACCAGCTCAGGTCAGGCATGGTGCAGGCTGATGGGGTCGAACATCGAAATGGATGTGGACTCCTTGACCTGCTGTCTTGCCAGGTACCAGCCGGGTCCGCACCCTTTGGAGCTGTGGTGGCAGTGGGCAACCCACCAGCAATGGGGCCGGGGACTGAGATGGGATCGGAAAGGCCTTCTCTTTAGCCTGGTTCTGCGCTGCGCAGGGCCCGGCTGCCGTACCGGCTCGGGCGCCCAGAGGATGCTTGATGTACAGGGGGCTTGCTTCCTTGTTTGCAGGACCATCGTCGCAGCGCCAGCCGCCAGCTCTGCATCGATGAGTGGTGCGGTACCCAGATTTGTCAGGGGTCAGGAGCGGGATTCTGAAGCTTGTCGTGCTCAGGTTCGGTGCGCAGCGTGGCTTCTTCTCCGCCTTTGGCTTGGGTGGTCCTGCAACAAGAGATCATGCGATTCGATTGGAACTGGTAAGGGCGCCGACAGCACCTCCGGGGCATGCCGGTGCCCTGCAGAAGGCCCAAGGCAAAGCAGTGCCGCATGCACAGCCGACGCACCCTGGGACAGCGCGGTCGCGACCCGGGCAGGGAGGCCCAGAGAACGGAAAAGGAGTGCAATTCATGGCAGATGCCTGTTTAGCTGTGATCAAACGGCTCGCAAAGCTTGTTTGCTGCTCCCAGACCTTTTTCGAGGATTGAGACCCCACAAGATCGCTCACAGGCACAAGCGAGGGAGGGTGCACAGAGCGCCGCAAGCGCGCTCTCGCGCCGGCTCCAGGCTCCCTCCCGAACCTCCAGCCTGGACTCCTCGGGTGCGGCTTCGGGCGTGGCCTCCGGTGCCTCACACTTCCGGACCCTGTTCGAGACCCACCGTCCCCTGTGTCAGCTGCGAGAAGGCTGCTCGCTTTCGCAGGACCCGTAGCCGAGACTCAGACTTCCGGGAGCCCGGAGCCAAGCCAATTGCAAATCGGAGCACGGACTCGAGCAAAGCAAAGGTCGCGCTTCTATTCCGGCCAGAGGCGCAGCCCCCGTCAGGATGGCAAGAATTGGCAAGATGCATGAACGGTGTTAATGTGTACTGCTGTGACAGGTCGCCAAGCGTGGAGTCCTCGGCGAGCCTGCAGAAAGTTCAAACAAACCTGCACCAAAGTGGGCACCCGAGCTCAAGCACTGGATTTCAACGAATTGGGCTAGACTGGCAGCCTGGCAGTGCTGAGGCCGACAGCACATGCAAGAGGTCGAGCAGACTATGCAGGCGACTGCCTGTGCACACAGACACACCGGAAAGTCAGCGAGGTCACTTACGCCTCTATTATCATGTCTACACGCAGTGTCTGGATGAAGCCAGTTCGCAACCGCATCCCATCAAATCCATGAAATTCGTGTACGTGGCATCTCATCATGATGTGACGTACTTGCTCAGCACTCAAAAATTCTGTGCACTGCAGCTCCTCCGTGAGAGATGGCTTCGCAGGCCATGCGAGGAGCCTTGGAGAGTTCCAAGGAGCTGCTCACGAGGAGCTCACTTGCGTGGACAGCTCAGAGCGCAGCATCTCGCAACCTTCGGAGAGAAGTGGTGGTTGAAGGCACGGCGACGATGTGCTAACAGTGAGCGCAGCAAACGAGAAGGAGCCGACAAGCTTGGAGGAGCTTGCAAGGAGGCTGAAGGAATGGCAACGCTCAGCAGGCGTTCTTGCATGTCCTGTGAATTCAAAGGCTCCAATCTCAGCAAGAAGCTTTGATCGCCAAGCTCACCCAACGCAGAGGGCCTATCAGTGAAAGTTCTGAAAGACTGTGGAAATCTCTCGCATGTGGAGGCTGGGAACAGCGCTTTGCTGCTCTTGAGCAGGCGGCTGCACTGAGACCTTCTCCAAAGATTACTGCGTTGATGGAGCCTGTCACAGGCTCTTAGCAGCGGCCTCGAGGTGGCCACAGCCGCCACGGGCTCCATGAATGACCGCCAGCAGCTCGCTTGCGGCCCTGCTGGGGCTCTCTGAATGGCCTGGCGCTCCAGGGCTGACACGCTTCGTCAGCTTGGCAGAAGTCCTGGAGGGTGCCGTCGAGCGGGTGGGGACCCTCAGTTTGAGGCTGCACGGGGCGCACTGAGGGCTGAAGCGAATGATATGGCGCAGGTGATCCACAGCAGCAAAGACATCGCCACGCCTGGAGCTGAAGATGAGAGTTACACAGCTACAGCCGTTACGGCATGCAGCAGTCGTCAAGCGGCTTTTTTACAAGTTGTCAGTCCAAGAATCAGGCTTTCGCGGAAAGTCAGCCAGATTGAGGTAGCCGTTCTCGGATGTCGGGAATGGAAGAAGGGAAGCCTCGTAAGGGGCTGTGGGGCCTTTGCTGCCTTCAGGATGATGTCGCCTGCCTGGCACAGGAGTTGGTGCGCTGCTGTGGAGGGAGGGAAGTCCCTTGCTATCGAGTCGGCTGTGTGGCTCGCAAAGGCCAGCGACCAGAAGGGTCGAAGCGAGGCCGTGACCCTTGCCGAGGCACGGCGAGCGGGCCGGGGCCGGGGGAAATTTGAGGGGGGCCAAGCCTAAAACTCTTAATAGATTGTGTTGAAAGCTTTAGGGATTCGCTCGGATGACGTGGCCTCGCAAGGTGGATGCGGCCTGCGAGGAGCTGCGCCGTGAGCTCGGCCCGGGCCTGGAATTCCGCGGCTGAGCCTTCGTCAGAGGCAAGTATTGATGCCGCAGTCATCGGGCCCCATTTTCTCGGAATGCACACTTCCTACAGCAACCAGCTGGCTACCACAAGAGTCCCTCATAACCATAACCCTCGCATCCTCATCGCCCATGGTGCGCTCGCATTCGCTTCGTGCGGCTGCCCGGGCACTCAGTTTTCCGGAGACGTCGATCTGGTGTTTAATTCGGTGAGATGCTGTAGCTGTCTGAGCTTGTGGAGGTCCGAGCCTGGCATGGGAGAACTTGCAGAACACTTTCGCAAAGGAGCTGGTTCTGCTATTCACCATGGCAGTGACTTCATGCTCGAGAACTGAGGAGAAGCTTCACCAGTGCACAGCTGGTCGGAGCCTCGCTGTTGTTCTTTTCCGTTTGCTTCCCGACTCTTCGTGACGTCATGAGAGGCTCGGCACTTGGGTGGCTCCCCACCAGAGCTGCTCGGTGCGTTGGAGCAGCTGCCATTGGAAGCAGCTCGGCTGCTTTGCGGATGACTAAGACCGGTGATGAGGTAACGCAGCTCTTTCCTACGCGACTCTCATTTTTCCATGCTCTTCGTCTTTGATTCCATTCCCTCTGTAGTTGGCTCTATCTCGCTCTCCCTCCTTCGTTCGTATGTCTGTTTGTTTGTCTGTCTGTCTGTATGTCAGACGCGCAATTCAACTCGGCCTTCGCCTCTTCCCATGGCTGAGGGCAGCGAAGAGCCCGCAACCCGCCCATGGCATCGCCCCTGCAGGCGACGCGACGCCTGTTGTAGCTCCGGGAGTGTTTCTCTTAGCCGAACCCTGTCGCGCATCCGCCCCCTCTTTGGCAGAACCCCAGAACTTTGGAACCGAGGACGTCACGATTCCCCGAGTAGTGTGGTGTCACTGCTGGGCCTCTGCGCTGCGAGAGCAGAGACAGTGACTCATGCTGTGTCGCGGCGTGTATGTCCTTCTGAAGTAGATTCCAGGACCTGACGGTTGTCCAACTTGATCCAAGAGGCGTTCAAGCGCAACAGTCTGTGCATATGTTGGTTTGTCTTGAAATGGATTCTTTTGCATGATGGCGACATTCTAATATCGGGCTCCCGTCACAGAGCCTTGCAGCTGGTCGTATCCGCCTCCCGCGATCGTGCTCCCTACCACGGTGCGTGTTCTGGGGGTGTCACGGGGGGTGTTCTTGGGAGCCTCCGGAGTGTTGAGACGTAGAGTGCTGCTCGGGCCTCCGCTAGCATACTGTTCTTGCTTCTGGACCCACACTGCCGTACCGATTGCGGACCCTAACAAGCTGCATTGGCTACCTACAAGCAGCAAGTCCTGTCGGTGGACCACCTGGCAAGCTCATGCAGCCGCTCCTCCCAGCGTTCACGACCCGCTTTTCCGAGTCCGGCTCCGTTTATGGCGACGGCTGCGCGGACCAATCTGTGATGGCCGCAAACCGGTTTGGCAACCACTCACAGTGCTGCCTGTGTGCGGGGCGACCGAGTCAAACTCGCTCCTTGCGTGCAGGACGCAAGCTGCAGGATTGCAGACTGAGGTTGAGAAGCCTGGCCTTTTGCCTCCACACGTCAATGGTGCTCCGGAGGATGGGGTTCGTCGGCTTGCGGGTCGTCGGCCAGCCGACGTCTGGAGCGGATTGCGAAGCCCGAAAGCATACGCGTTTGAACACAAAATTGTTTGTGTCGCCGAGGGCCTCAATTCATTCCCCTGGTCGTCGAGGCTGCTGGCAGGTGGGCGCCGGCCGCCATGCAGACCTGGAAAGCTAGAGGGAAACCGGTGGCGGCCAAAACCCATGAGAGTGCAGAAGAGGAGACGAAGGACGTGGAGCCACCCGGCCTGACCCCCTAATGGAGCTGGATTTCGCTAGCCTTGTGACCGTGCTCTCATCCGCACTGGGACCCTGCCCTGCTGCCGCTTCCTTGCCCTCTCTCCCACCAGCGGAGCTGCATGAGGTTTGAGGGCTTACCGCTTCGTTCCCCTCGCCTCGTAGCTTTGCTTCTCCGCCTTCAGTGTTTGTAGGTCTGTCTAGTTTTATGTGCTGCCTCCCCAGGCCAAAGTGACGCGGCTGGGTAGATCCAATGTCTGTTTGTTCGTTGGCTTGCCTCTTCATTATTCCGCATCTCCCTCTCTCTCTGGCTACTCGCATGGTTTGCATTCTGGTTCTGAGGCATCTCGAGGCAGTTTCGGTTCGGACGGCGGCCTGAAGCAAGCCCTGGGCGAACTGGCTCGGCGATTGCCGCGGGACGCCGGCGAACAGGCCCAGCGGACTTGTAGAAACGTGGTGGGGCATGCAAGCACGGCCCTCGAACTTGCCCAACTTATAACTGACTTGTCGAGCTTATAACTTAGACGCTGCCTCGAAGAGTAAATCGACCCCCCTCTTTAGACGGACCTTTCGCCAAACCGCTAAAAGGGAGTGAGCTGTCCGTGCGAGCTGTCAGGTCGAAAGCTAAAGCCCCAGCTTAGCTGCTACGAACCCCGGCGGTGTCTAGGGGAGGTGGCAGGTTAGGAAGTGCTAGCTAGTGGACCCTTATTTAGGTGTTTGAAAAACCGCTTTGTTTAAGACAAAACGCTTTATGTAAGGAAAAGGGTTTCATTTGAGGCAAAAGCACTTATTCAAGCAACTATTTCCAAAAAAAGCTTTGAATACTAACGACAACTTGATTAAGCAACATTTTGCCACGCAATTCCTTAAATAAGATGTGTATGTTTCTTTGGACTACCAGTTCGACCCCGGCCGCAGGCAACCCCATAGGGGGAAATCACCATCCGCTCTGCGCATTTGCGCTCTGGCCCGCCTGTCAGGTCAGGTGGCACGGCCTGCTGAAGGTTACGCCGCAGAAACGGTGAGGCAAATTTAAAAAGCCGAGTGAAATTCCCAACGTCCCTAACGAACCTGGCCGGGGGAGCTCTCCCAACCGTACGTACCAGAAGCAGCTACCTCAACAGGGACCATTGGCCAGCCGTACCAGAAGCAACCTCTGCACCAGAAGGAAATGGACCGCAAAAGAAAGGACCGCAGCCAGAAGTAGGGGTGAGACCGCCAAAGCCGACTGGACAGCTTCGCCACCGTTTACTCCGGATCACCTCGGGCCAACGGTGAAGACGGAGGGGCGGAGGACCCAGACTGGGGGACACCGGACATGACATCCCTCTGGTGATGCCACCTATGGTGACAAGTGACAATGATAGTGCTCCTTGGGTCGACCAGAAACAAGGATTACGAAACACCAACACTTCGCCCCCAGAAAGGATACTATGCCAATGGAGGTTGATCTGCGGGAGATGCAGAACGTGTGGCCTACGTCGGCGGCGCTGGACCGAGAGGTGGAGGTGGAAGTGGAGAAACACGAGGGGGTGATCAATGAGCCCAGGTCGGAAAAGGGGCCTTGTCATCAAGGCCAAACAAGAAGCTGCAAAGGGAGGTTGAAGAAGGTGGGGGAATGACGGTCAGACTTCCCTTGCCACCAAGCGGGGAGCTCCCATACACGAGTTTGGCGCAGAGAGGGGGAAGGAATAGCCAATCCTCCTCGCGCTCCAAAGAAGATGAGCTCGCGGACCTTCCCAGAAGGAGCAGCGCCAGACAAGACGCAAGAGAAAACGTGTGCGATGATGGCAACGACGACACGAACTGAGTGAAAGCTGAGTCTGAGGGGGATGGCATGCTGTACAGCTGCATCTGCGTTGCAGCAACGCCCACAGCACCGTGTCCGTGCAGCAGCAACCATCCTCTGAGTCACCGTTTACACTGTTTCTGGAGGGGAGCTCCGCTCTCCAAAACTTGAGGTTGGGAACAGGCAGGCAAGTGCACGCTTCAGGGGGAGGTCCCAGAATCGCCAACTTCTTCTTGGCACAGACACCGTACAGTGGTTGCTCTAGAGAGAGAGCGAGAGAGAGAGAGAGAGAGAGTTGCAAACCTCTCGGCCTCAGCGTGTAGTCGTCGAGCGGACCAGAGACCACCAGGGCGCGCACGCGCGCAGGGGGGGGTGCACTCGTGCCTCTCTCTAGTCTGTGTTGA